TCAATAAAATTATAGAAAACATTAAAAAATAAAATCATATCAATTTATCATTCTGCATGAAGCATAATAGCATAATCCACTATTAATGTTAACGAAAATCATTTAACATTACTGTGAGTTCTTCCTGCACATTTACCATAACCTTGCTGAAGAACAAAAAAAAATCCCCCTCTCTTGGGAGCTGTTATTTCTTAAATACAATCACTGGATGCCAAAAAAATAACCTTGTCCTTAAAATGCACTAATTGAAACCTCAGCCTAACGAATTCACATAACCTTTTCTAGTATACTCAACAGACCTGACCATTGGAATGTATGTCCTGTAGCTAACACCCCCGGCACTGAAGCTAATGCATTTAATTTTTAATCTTTTTCTCTCGTTTCATGTGAGGATGAAACAATTCATCAACACTCTTTGTATAAACACCCATGATACATTAAATATCTTAAGACTCCGGTAAGAAAAATTCGTTGTAGGAAAACAAACTGCGAGGCTGTAGTCTCAGTGCAGTGCATGGTACGAAATCACTGCATTTGCAGGCACGGCCAGGATGGGCTGTTCATAACATAAAGCAACAGTTGGGCAAATGTCAAATGCCATGCTAGAGAACCCGCCCGTAAACAAACCGATTAACGTAATCTGTGGCCACACAACAACCAGGAGTGTTACTAAAACTTGACTTTTCTTCTGTCTTTCACCCTTGCTCCAGTACACTAAACAAAATGTACAAATTTATGGTAAATTATTAAGCAAGTAACTTTTGAGTGTCTTGCTCGCTACAATTTAGAATGCTACCTTGCTCATTAGCAACAAGGCAGGGTACAGTACAAAAAGGAAACTTTGTGTCCAAAACTGACACTGTTTTCTGAAGAGTACCAGCTCCTGGTGTTTTTGTCACGGTTTACAGAACCGATCAGGACTGTCCACGCAACCGCTGCGCCTGCACACGCAGCGCATAAACATTTGCTCCAGATGCGAATGAGCGAGGAGTGACCCAGAAAGGGAATCGGGGGCCACCCTGAAGTGCACCCAGCTTTCTCCTAAGAACTCTGCTCGGGTCCCCAAGTTCTCTACACTGAGCCCCAACTCCGCTGAGTCTGCAGGGCGGCCAGCGCCGCCGCGCCGTCCCCAGCGCGCCCGAGGACCGCGCTCCGCCGAGCACCGCCGACCCCGAAGGAGCCGCGGCGCGCGGGGCGGGGCGACGCCCAAGTAACTCGGGCGACGCGGGGCGGCCGGCCCAACCTCCGCCTTCCCCGGCGGCCGCGCCAGACGCCCGCCCGCCGCCCATCCCAAGACAAACCCGGCGGCAGTCGCTGGGGCTTTGTGCCCGCAGGAAGAAGCCGAGACTCGCCAAGGCCCGCGAAGAAACCGGTCTGCCCTCTCCCGCCACCCACCCCGGCCGGCCGGGTCCGCGCACCGCCGCGTCCCAGCAGGCCGCCTCTGCCCCGGCCGGCCAGACCCCGAGTTCCGCGCCGAGGCGGGACGGCCCCGCGACCCCGGCGCGCCAAGTTTCACCTTCTGAATCGCAGCGGGCGTGATCTCCCCCTTGCCGCGCTGCCTCGGGGCCGCGAACGCCACAGACATGTTGCCCCAGTCACCGCTGCGAGCGAGTCCCGAGCGCTCCGGGTGAACGGCAAACTGGGGGAAAGACGCCGAGCCCTCGGGCCGCACCACCTGGGGACGCGCGGAGGGGGGATGCTGCGGGGCCGAGCGCGCCGCCCGCCCGCCCGCCCTCCCAGGGGTATCCAGCCCGCGGAAACGCTGCTTCTGGGAGTGGCTGCGGAGGGGCAGCTGGGGCACCGCTTCTTCGGCCCCGCCCGCCCTCGCGGAACTCGACCCGGCCTCCCGCGCACCCCCGCGCCCGGGCGCCGATGGTACGGCCGCGCCCCAGTCCGCCCTCCGCTTCAGCGATTCAGGAAATGGTCCCGCCGCCGCGGGAGAGGGTGAGGCCGGGCAGCCTTGTCACAGGAAATGTGAGCGCCGGCCGGCCCGCCCCTCGGCGCTGAGGAGCCGCTCGCGCGCTCCCGGCTGCGCCTCCGCGCTCCGCCCCGGACCCGGTCGGAGTTTCCAACTCCTTCCTCGCCGCTCCCGAGGAGAAACGACCGCCCCGGGCGAGCGGTCCCGGCCGCGCACGCCGGGCCGGAGGAAGGGCGGGCTCGGCGGGGCGCGCGGACCCGGGGAGCCCGCCGGGGAGGCGCAGGACGCCGATTCGCTGGTTTGAACGGCTCGGCTACGCCCCAAGTCTCATCTCTTGAGTCTTCCGCTGCGAACGCACGCTCGCAAGTCGTCCCGAACAATCGGAAAAGAACCTGGGCCGAAATCCGGGCCCCAAGGCTGTGGCCGGGGCTCGGGCGGCCGTCCTGCAGGGTTGCGACGGCTGGAAAAGGGCTCGCCTAAGGAGCGAGTGGGAACTGTGGTCGGGCCGGTCCAATTCGGGTCACAGAAATGCAGCCGAGAAGTGGGACGCCTCCACTCTTCACACACTCGGCGATTAGGCCCAACCTGCTAGGTTTCAAATTGGTGTGAGCAGGGCAGGGGGCAAAAGTTTTAAAATTAGTAAAGAGCAGCGCAAATGTGAGTAATGTGTTGCTGTGGATTTTTAATTGCATAAATTACGACTGCCATGTAGCATAAAAGGAAAATCTATTAAACGAAACTCAAATCTCCATGGATATTATATATAAAATGAACTGAAAAAATCAAGTTTTAAAGAATCCATTCAAACATACTTTTCACGCGAAGGTTGCCTCATTCATTCAGTAACTGAGGATTTGCTGCTTGTGCCAGGTTTCGTGGTAGGTAGCAGAGATGCAACTGTCAGCAGCTATGGAAGCTGCGGTCAGGACTCACTCTTGGGCTGGGGAGATAGCTCCCCGGCAGCAGCACCTGCCTGGCAAGTGCAAGGTCCTGAGTTTGATTTCCAGTACAAAAAAAAAAAAAAAAAAAAACTAATAACACAAACCAAAAAGAAGTAAACAAATTATATATTATATTAAGCCCTAAGACTGGAACCAGAGAACTAAGAATGTGGCTAGTTATGTGAGTTACTGTGGAAAACTAGGACCTAAAAGGTGAAGACTCAAGCCATGCTGAGAATAAAGGGAGGTTCCATTTCTGTGGCAGCCGGGCCACCAGGCGCACTGAGCGGACCACAGGCTGGGCGTGGTCGCGCACACCTGTAATCCCAGCGCTGGGGAGGCTGAAAACAGGACGATCACTTCCATTCTGAGCTGTGTGGTGAGACCCTGTACCAAATACATTAAAAAACAACAACAACAACAAAGGTCAGTAACTAAAGATGACTCAGGTAATCACCTCCCCAATTAGAGAAACCTACCCCACTATTTAGATGTATTGATTCATCTGACAAAGAAATCAGGGCCATGTAACCAAAAGGTACAAGTCTTTTTTAATAATCCTAATAATTCGAATATATAGAGTGGTTCCAAGAAGTAATACGACTGGCATAAACAATTAAAAGATGAGTGTAATTCTCTTTTTTTAAAAAATTCTCTCAGGAAACTAGACTGATTTACCTGCCCCAAAAGTAAAATAGTACTTTATCATGCAGAAACAGAAAAATTTTCAGTTTGGGTTTTCAAGTATTCCTCAATTTTTAATTTGTTTTATATGAATTTGTTTGTATTTCTTTGCTTGCTTAGGCAAAACACAAGGACTGGGGTTCAATCCCCGGTACCATATACCATGCAGGCCCCACCCCTTGGGTGCACTGAGATGGTGACTGAGACTGCGCTGGTGCTGCATGCCTGTAATCCCAGCGCTTTGGAACCTGAAAACAGGATCACTACAGACTGATCTGTGTAGTGAGACCCTGTAGAGCCTGTACTAAATATACTTTTTAAAAAAGAAAGAAAAAGAATAAAGGAAGGAAACTTTATATTTCTTCTCTTAGAATGGTATCCTGAATTTACCTTCCACTATCCTAAGTCTTGAAAACACCGGTATATTTGGATCTAATGTAATCGCACCAAATTGGAAAACCTATTGTATTCAGAAAAGAAACCAATTCTCTGACCACCCTCTCCCTGGAGACAAGGTCGCCCTAAGTGGCTGAATTGCCCAGGCTGGGTTTGAACTCTAAATCCTCAAACCTCAGCCTTACAGGGTGCTGGGATTGCAGTCAAAGATCAGAAACTAATTCTTGCCTACCACTAACCCTGTGTGCGCAATACCGGACATACACAGCCATGTCTTGTCTATACAGAAGTAACTTGGTAGCTAAGAGTAATATTCCAACAGGAAAAGTGAATCTCAAGGAGTCCACTCCAGGTGTGTCCAGCTGGCAGGCAGTGTGGAAATCTTATAAAGCAGCAAGAACCTGTAAAAGTAGTCATCTGAATTTCTGTGTTACAGGTTAAGAAAAAAAATGAGAGAACTCCCATTTTAGTATCCAAACACAGGTACATTCTTAAATTAGAGCTTCCCAAACCTGGGATGGGGAAAGCAACTCAGAATTGGCTGTGGGTCTCCCTGAATTGTACACTCCTTCAGGGTAGCAGAGTGGGGCCTGGAATCTGTATTCACAGGACCTGTGCAAGATTAACTGCACCTTTTTCTAGAATTCTATGTATACCTTCAGATAATGTCATTTTCAAGGTGTCCTGTTACATAAAATCTGTTAAGAAGCACTAGTTAAAAGATCCAGCCAGAAATGCAAATAGCATTTGCAGCTCACACCTATAATCCCAGCACTTAAGTGGATGAGGCAGAAGAATCTCTGCAAGTTCAGGACCTGTCTGGGCTCCAAAGTGAGGTCAAGTCCAGGCACTGCATAGTGAAATCCTGTCTCAAAAAAGGAATACAAAGTGAATGTTGAAGTTAAAAATGCTTACAGTAAAAGATATGTTTCCAATAACCCCTCTCAAAACCCTCCCCTTTGCTTCAGATACATTTCATCACTTTTGTCAATGTGTCTTTTACTATAATATGCTTTTTTTGAGTTAAACATTCATTATTTCTGACCATCCCTTGTACTCTGGTGACTTAATAAAAAAAAAAAAAAAAAAAAAGATTACTCAGGTAATCACCTCCCCAATTAGAGAAATCTACCCCACTATTTAGGTGTATTGATTCATCTGACAAAGAAATCAAGGTCATGTAACCAAAAGGTACAGGATTTTTTAAATAATCCTAATAGAATATATAGAGTGGCTCCAAGAAGTAATATAACTGGCATAAATAACTTGAGAGATGAGTGTAATTCTCTTTTTTTTAATTCTCTCAAGAAAGCAGACTGATTTACCTGCCCCCAAAGTAAGTATAGTGCTTTGTCATACAAAAACAGAAAATTTTTCAGTTTTGGTTTTCAAATATTCCTCAATTTTTAATTTGTTTTATATGGATCTGTTTGTATTTCTTAAGTATATTTCAAGTGGAAATTAACCACTCTTGGAAAATGTTCACTATTTAGTGAAACTATAATCAAAAGATTAAAAATTGTCTTAATCTCCCCATAATAAATCATATGCATGCAGATAATGGGGACCACTCTTTCTTACAATAATTTCTTTAATATTTATTATTTTATAATTAATAGGACAGCTGTAAGTCCAAATTTGCTGATGTCTTAAGCCACTATGCTGCCATAAATTCTTGGAATATATTAGGAGGGCAAGGACTGAGCCTGCCTGTCCATAATTGGGCTCAGAGCAAAACCCCTAAGGTAATATATTTCAAAATATGTCTACACACAGTCTCTGTGGCATCTGATGAGTCAATTTGAGTTGTGGCTTCCACAGATTTAAGAGTGTAGTGAGAGAAATATACCTCTATATATTTATATAATCATTATTCCAGGTAGAACAAATCACTTTTCCCAATTCTCCACTTTATTTCTGATATTCCAGAAATTTTCATTCATGGTAGATTATAAGAAAGCTTATCTGGGGCATTCCACCTCTGATGTTAACAAGCTCTCAATGAATTAAGGATGAACCGAATCAATTATATTTTTGGGAGTCAGTAATACAGAATAGTATTGAGATATATATATATATATAGAGAGAGAGAGAGAGAGAGAGAGAGAGAGAGAGAGGCAAAAACTATTTCATTAATTTTAATAGTGTGCTGATCACTTCCCCCATCTGCCTAGTAAGGTGTACTGCAAGAGC